CTCTGTCAGCCTCTGCCTCCCACAACAGAAGTTGATTCTCTTGAAGTGCACAGTGGACTGCCGGCAATGCTCAGAGGGCCTGGTCATTTAGGGTCTAGCTGGGCAGAGACTCTGGTGGTTTTTGCCTTGAATGGGCGTGGGCCTTTTCCAGACAGATACCAGCTCATCGGCAGGAACTTTTTAAAATATTTTATTTATTATTTTTATTTTATGTGTATGAGTGTATTGCCTGCATGTATGTGAGTGCACCCGTGTCGTGCAATGCCGCAGAGGTCAGAAGAAGGCTTTGGATTCTCCTGGAACTGGAGTTAAGGACAGTTCGTAGCCATCATGTGGGAATTGAACCCGGGTCCTCTGCAAGAGCAGTCAGTGCTCTTAACCGCTGAGTCTCTCTAGCCCCCAGCAGGAACTTTTTACCAGTGACCCCAGCCACACAGGTGAGGAGTGCCACCCATGACACTGGAGTAATGCCCAAATCCTGTAGCTGTGCCCACAGCAACTGTTTTGAGTTGCAGCTGGACATGAGTACTGTGACCCCCACATACTCTCTCTCTCTCTCTCTCTCTCTCTCTCTCTCTCTCTCTCACACACACACACACACACACACACACACACACACACAGTGGACACAGGACTGATGTGGGCATGTCCTGTACTGCTCCCATCAACTTAGGAGGCAGTACAGCCTGCTTGCCTCCTGTACTGCTCCCATCAACTTAGGAGGCAGTACAGCCTGCTTGCCCCTCTGTTCTTGTCCGGATGGGAAGTCGCACCGTGGCTGGACATCATACCTGGTTCCCCAGGCTCGCCTGTCTGTCTGGGATCACCCAGGCTGTTCCGGAATTGTACCCAGGAACTTGTAGCTCATCACATCTGAACCTCTCACTGTAGAAGCTTCTGTGACCTAGCCCAGGGTCTGTCTGGGTCTTGAAGTATTCTCCTGAGCACTGTGGAGCTGAGGCAGCTGTGGCACGCCTCCGTCCTCATAAGCCTCAGCCCCCGCCCTCTCCTGGGATAACCATCTTTTCACGTCAGGGTCTCATTTGCCCACTCGTAACTGGCTCTCTCACTTTCCCATGGGTTTTTCTCTTGTGGCTGTGCCTCAGTCTCCCTTATCTCTGTCCCTCTCCTTGACCCTGAACCCACCACCCACTCCGTCTCATGCAGCCAGGCTTCTCCGAGGAGGATCTGTTGTGTGTCCCCTTCTCCCACTTGATGGCGTAGGCTCCTTTTGCCGGGGCCTGTGCTCCTGGAAGCTGGTGTAGACATGTGGTTGTTTGGCCGTGAACTCGTTGTCAGCTCATTGGAAGACCCAGCGCTCTTGTTTTTAAAACAGTTTCAATTTTAAAATTATCTTGAAAAATGTAATCACTCGAGAGAGGGTTATAAAATAAACCCATCTCTCTTCCACTCATGCAACAAGTGTTTGCAGTCTTGCTTGACAGCTTTTTGTTTTTGATTTAGAGGTTTACAGTAGTGGTTACAAGTGCTCTACATCCCTCTCAGGCTGTAGAATGCCACCATCCTTTGCATACAGATTGTCCTAGTCGCCCCACTTGTGAAAGTGGTTCTGAGTGAGACCCTGCCTTATGGGGTGCTGGCACCTGGCACGCATGGTGCCGATTGTATGCTTCAGGCTGCTTGCTCCTCTGATATTGATTGTGGCTTTGATCCATGTAGCTCCCGCTCATCCACGTAGATTCCCCCACAGCCTGTGTGACAACCCCGTCTCTACTTGAACCACGTTCCTATTGGTCATTGTTGGCTGTCTGGGGGGTTTGAGAGTGTGACTAGATGTGTGTCAGGCAGTTGCTTCTTCCGAACCCCAGGCAGGTTGGTCCCCTTAGGACCCTGCCCTGGGATCCCTGAACAGCCAGATGACTTTGGTAGCAGCGATAGCCAACCTCTATTTGAATTAGGAGTCTGGGCCTTTATGGTGGTGTCCATTTTAGTTGTATTTTTTACTCTAGGTACCATATTCATTCAGCACTTTACTGTGAAATTAGGATTATTTTAGATGATTTTGTTCAACTGTTGCAGATGTCATTGCTCAGAGCGCATGTAAGGTTCTCAAGGTCGTTGGTAGGCCAAACGCCATGGATGCGTTTTTATTGTTTGCTTGGGCTTTTTGAGACAGAGTCCCACTCGGTAGCCTAGGCTAGCCTGAAACTCACAGCAGTCCTCTTAGTGCTGGTGTGGTGGGCATGTGCCTACCCATTGTGAGTACACTTTTGACTTAAGGTTCCCACCTTGTGACGGATTTAGCAGGATGCAATCCCATCACAGCCAAGGGGTGTGGTGTACTAGTACTCTGTACTGGCCAGTTTTACAGATGAAGAAACTGAGGCTTAGCGAGACCCCATTATTTTCCCAGGAACAGTCAGCTAGTAAAGTGTGGAGCACAGTGTTCACATTGTACAGCTGGGGCCAGGAGCCCTTCCAGCATCACCCACCCTGGGCTCTTTCCTGGTCACCCCGAGGGCCGGTACGTTTGGAAGGTTCACTTCCTTTCTGTCCTTAATCCTTGGCCTCCCTTGGCTTATCTGCCACATGGCCCTAGGGAGAAGGCACCTGGGAGCACACCCCAACCTGCTGTCACCCACCCAGGCCGACCTGCCTGCAGTACCCATTGTGTGGCTGTGTAGAGGTCAGTGAGTCCCACAGAGCTCACACTCTGATGCCTGGTCCTGCTCCCCCAGCTGCTGCTCCTCCCCCCATTTCCTCAGTTCTGGCTGTTGGTTGGCAGTGGTGTAAGCCGTCACCCTTGGTTTCTATGGGTAGTGACTTCCTGGGTGATGAGTGTCCTCATTCAGCAGGGCCTCCACCCTACCCTCTCTTTTCTGCCTGCTCCCCACCTTGGTGCCACCACTGGTTCTGAGCGTGATCCTGTCCCTGAGTGTGATCCTGTCCCTCCTGATCTTAAGCCCTTGGCAGCTCTGCACTGCACCTGCTTTGTTCCCCAGGAGTCTCAGAGGGGAACAAAGTCTCAGAAGTCTCAGAGCCTTCCCAGCCTTGCTTTACCTCACCCTCAGTGCCATTCCTTGTAGGCCTCCCTTGCTTCTCTCATCTGAAACCTGTCATATTTTCCCAGAGTTCAGCTCTCTGTCCCTTTGAGCATGCTGTTTGTTACCTGGAAGTCCCTCTTTGCTCTCCTTGCTGGTGCCTTGGTTGCCTGGGGTGGCCATCACAAAGTGCTGTGAACTGGGCAGCTTAAGCCCCAGGTGCTTACTCTCCTGAAGTTCTGGAGGCCAAGGTCAGAGCAAAGTGGTGTCAGTTGTCAGGGTCGAGCTCCCCCCAGAGCTCTGAGGAGGATCTGTTCTCTTATCAGGTACTTGTGATGACATTCATGGTCACCAGGCTAGTGTTGGCTGACCTCAGGAGCCTTCATTACATCTTCAAAGACCCTTTCCAAAGACGGTCTGGCAGCCATCTGTGTTCGATCAGTGTGTCACAATGATCAGAGGTCAAGGAAGAAAAGTTTATTTTGGCTCATGGGTTCAGGGGTTATAGGCCATGGTTGGCTCTGTGGCTTTCGGGGCTGTGCCCTCTAGCTTTTGGGGCTGTGTTCTGTAGCTTTGGGGACTGTGCTCTGTTGATTTTGGGGCTGTGGTGAGAGCGGTGTGAAGGGGAACGTGTGACACAAAGCAGCTCAGCTCATGGTGGACAGGAAGCAGAGAGAGTGCCTAGAAAAGACCCAGCGACTTAACTTCCTTCTACTGGGACCCACCTCCTGACCTCCTGAAGGCCCCACATCTCCCTTCAGTGCCACAGGCTGAGGACCCAGACTCTAACATTCGTGTTTGCTGGTTCCAGGGTTAGATGTCGAGCCGTGGGGGCAGGGGCACCATTCTACCCACTGCCTTTGGCTGCTCCTTTCTTTGGTCTCCTGTCTCCGTGTCCATTGTGACCATCCCATTCCCACTGCCTTCTCTGCACCCTGGGTGTCACCTGAGTGTCCTGACCCATGATATGTCCATGGTACTTCCCTGAGCGTGTATCAACCACTCAAGCTGCCTCTGCATTGTTTCTTTGTCTATGATCTTTTCATGTCCTTAGCTCCTGGCGCATGTCAGCTCCTCAGTCAGTTTGACACCTGAATCATCGTACCCACCATGCTGGGTAATAGTGCAGGGGCCTCACCTTCCCCATGCAGCTAGCCTGCAGGGCCTCATCCCTCCCAGCTGGGCTCTGCCGTGGCTGCCTCGCTGACCTGCTCTCATCTCTTCTTGCCCACCATTCACTGGGAACGCTGCTGTCTGTCACTGATCTTCTGAAGCTGTTTTCCTACGTTGCAGGTCGGAAGCCCTGGTGTCCTGTTGCCTTTGTGGCTGCAGCCTTGGGACTTGCCCTCTTGTTCCCCGCTATCGACCGATCATCTGTGATGATGTCCGCTCGTTTCTGGGGCCCATTGTGATTTTGTTGCCTTCCTGTCCTGGCGATGAGCTGCATATCTCACTTTGTCTCTGTAACTGGGAGCTCAGGTGCTAGCTTTTCCCTAAAAATGTCTCTGTGCCATCTTTAGGCCCCAATTCTGGTGCTTGCTCCCTGCACACCAATGGCCAAGGGTGAGTGGGTCTTTCTATGGAGTATCCTACTGTACAGGCTCTTCCTTGGGCCCTTTCCCCGTAGCACTCATTGGCACAAGACACAGCTCAGGTCTTGAATGTGGTGGGCCAGGTTTGCAGAGTAGCCTGTTTAGGGGCAGGGGCGTTATGCATCCATTCAACAAATCCTAACCAAATGAAATGCTCTGTACCACCTGCTGCCAGTGCAGAGGGTGTGCTGGACAGCGGACCAGTCAAACATGGCACTGCCCTCCAAGTTCACACTTAGGAGTGAGGGAGACGTGTGACAGTAGTGAATCATATAGCGAAGCAGAGGCCCCTCAGGAAGTCTGGCCAACAGGCAGGTAGAGCCAGAGGATGGCAGAGGGTCCTCTCCATCCTCAGAAGGCATCTGCCCAGCTCATGATTCACCTTCTGCCATTTTTCCTCTTCCAGGTTAGGAAGTCCAGTCAGGAAGTCCTGCTGCTGCTTCTAGAACAAGAGCTCATTTTCCAGTTCGATGTGGAAAATAAAGTATGTTCGATTCTGCTGGAGCTGTCTGCCCCTGACCATGACGCCGGGTGCAAGACGGAGGCCGTGAGTGTTAAGTCCACCCTGGGAGTAGCTGCTGCACACAGAGGCTTATGTAAGACTTGAGTTCACACAAGTGTTGGACTTAGGCCAGCATCATTCCCATGAGCAAGGCAGTCAGGGATTGGCCTCAGTCAAGAAGGTTCCCTGGGCAGCCTTGAGCCTGATCTAGAAGTGCTCACGCCTAGAGCGTCAAGGCCGAGGAGTCACTGCTGGGCAAGATCTGAAGCTCACAGCAAAGTTCCTCCACCTGCTGTGTCAAGGCCTCATTTCTCCAATTCAGGAGCCTAGGATGGTGCTTAGGCAATGTTCGACAGTACTTGGGTAGTTCAGAAACCTTGAATACCCCTGAATATCTGCATTTTAAGAGAAGGCTAGGAGGTAAGCAAATGAGGCACCACTGAGGGGTGCAGACGTGGCAGCAGCCTGAGATGCCCTTGTCGGTGGAGGTTGTGCTCCTTCGTGTAAATACTCAGTGTCAGATATTGGTCATCCATGTGGCATCCTGGGGTATCAGACTGCACGATGGTTTGGGGCTGTGCGCTCAGGGCTGCTCCCCCACGAAGCCCTTGTTCGCAAACCCGGTTTTGCTGCTGCTTCGGTTGCCCTTGCCCAGCACTGCAGCTGTCCTGTGTGCTCAGGGGCACTGCGGGCCATCTTGTCTCCCTCAGGTGATGCCCTTCTGTTGACCTGTGCCATCAGGCTGTGAGCTTGACCCTTTCTGCACATGGCTATTCAGAGTTGCGGGGTTGCATTTTAGAAAATATTTTTTACATAAAGGGTTTAGAAATTCTAACCCTGGATGCTGAATGCAGAGGTTAGCAGATAGTTGCTTTCCTGTTTAGGGAAGAGAGAAGGAGTTGTTTTCTTTCCCAAAGTGCAAAGCCATTATACGCCATGTAGCTAAAAAATTACATTGTGGTGTCAGAACATTTGCAATTATTCTTCATTTATGTAAAAGTTTTCTTCAACTATGCGTTAAAGGTCTGGCTTTTTAAACTAATTTAATTTTTTTGCATATTCCATATGTTTATAAGATGAATCAGTCTGAAGAATAATTGATTATTAAAATTCAAATTCTCTAGGGTTCTTTTATAAATTTCAAGTTTCTCTACAAGAAATTTAATTTACTTTGCAAAATGAACCTGGATAATAGCATTTAGTCGGGGTGTTTGGCAGTCGAGCTGTGAACTTTGCCTAGTAGATCTTCTTTTTCATTTGGAAGTTGGTTAGGCGAGTTTCCAAGGTTACGACTGACAACCAAATATCTTATCCTTAAAGACCGATAATACCATGAAAAATAATGCCAAAGGCATTTCTACAGGATTTCTACTTTGTTTTGTTTCCAAATACTCACTCCTGTCAGCAGTATCTTCCCTTTTTTTTTTTTTTTTTTTTTTTTTTTTTTAAAAATTTTTTTAAAAAAAAAAAAAAAAACAAGCTTTTGTAAACAATCTCTACAAGTCATTTGCAGAAGAATTGGTTCCCATAAATTATATTTTTTCAGAGTAAGTTGCTGGTTCATTGTGAACCCCCAGACCCAGCTTCCAGCTTTGTCCTCGGGCGTGTTTCTGGAGGCTCTCTGCCTGTCTTCCTGTAGCGCCCAGGGGAGCAGAAGGTGGCTGTGCTCTTTGGCCCAGCTGTGCTTTGTCCAGTTCTTTCCCCATAGCCTGGAAGCCGAGAAGCCTTGGGCCCCAAGAGCTGCAGGGTATAGGCAGAACTGACTTCTTTTCCCATGTACATGGCATTCAGAGGCCTTTGTTTAGGGAAGAGAAGGTTCCATGTGTTTTGTGGGGTCCCTCAAGGAGAGTTTGTCTGGTTCAGTGGGTGATACCCCAAACTGCAGCACTAATATGCACTTGTTAGAAAAAGATTTGGGAAGCCATTGGCTTGATGGGTGATGGTGATGTGGAGGCTGATTGGGCTGGGTGACGCCCTTTGCATTCTGAGTCTCTTCACGGGCCTGCTTGTGAACATTGCTATATCTGTATATACATAAGCACATGCCAACTCTGAAGGAGGCCTCCCTGGAAGAAGCGGCTTGTCATGTGGCCCAAGTGCACATCTGTCTCTTCCTCAGGCTTTCATTCACATTGGGAGTTGCAGTCGGTCAGTACTGATGCTGACAGCTTTCATGCCTAGTGCTGGGACCATCAGACAGTCAACTGCAGTTAGGCCGGGCAGCCATTGTGTGGGGACAAGGATGGAGTTCTTGGTTCTTGCTTGTAATCCGTGCTTTTTTAGCTGTCTCTAGACACCACAATCACTGCTAGTGACCCTCCTCTATGTAATCAAAGGCTGGTGCATGCCCTTCTTTCAGTTAGCAACTGAGTTAAAAATCCCCAACTACCTGTCCCTTGAAATGGTGAGCTCCTTCACCACGGGCCACTGTGGCCTGTACCACCAGCACTCAGCATAAGGCCAGGCCGGGAGTCAGCACTGAATAAATGTTAGTTGTCGGATGAATGGATTGGTAAAAACTGCGAGAGCTGTATCTTGTAATTATATCTAGACAGGATAAACAGGCCACTGGAGACCAATTATGACTCCTCTTGCTTGCAGGGAGGCCATTAGCATTCTGCGGTTATAACTAATTGTCAGAAGCCTGTTTTTCTCTCGCAACACGTTTTCACATTAAGGCTTTCTCATTTTTTGTCGTCATCCCTATTTTTAAGCTCGTTTTTATTTGTGCATTTATTTAGGATGAATGTTGTGGTTATGGGTTCCAGGCCACTTTGTGAAGGTCTTCATTCCATACAAGTGGTTCCCAGGGCCGTCGGAATGTCATTTCTTGTCACTGTGTGCTGTCTTTTAATGATTCTGGATTTGTCTTATATGGTATAGTAATAAGGTCATGTGGGTGTGGTGGACAGGGAGGGACGGAAAGAGATCTGAGGTTCTCTTTAGTTGCCCGTTGCCCTGGATACAGAGGCCTCACATCCTCATTAATCGTGACTGTCGCTGTACAACTGTGCTAAGCATTACATCAGAAATAGGTGTCCTCAAAGTTCGAAGATGCAAGCCTTTCCTTGTTCGTGTTCTGGGGTTGGTTTACCCTTATCCTCACCCCAATTAGGTTTCTTTATGCTTCTGTCCCCCCTTCCTCCTGTCTGCTTCTGTGCATAGTCCCAGCGGAGTGGTTATAGATCACCCACCCAGAATCTTTACTGTACAGAGGCAGTACTGGGTCCCTGAGGGAGATGGAGCTTGGAGACAGCTGCCATTTTCCCTCCTCCTCCTCCTCCTCCTCCTCCTCCTCCTCCTCTTCTTCTTCTTCTTCTTCTTCTTCTTCTTCTTCTTCTTCTTCTTCTTCTTAAAAAAAAACCTTGTCCTCCTCGTCCTCCTTCTCCTCGTCCTCCTCCTCCTCCTTCTCTTCCTCCTCATCCTCCTCCTCCTCGTCCTCCTCTTCCTTCCTCTTCCTCCTTCTTTCCTCCTCTCCTGTTGACTTATTTGGGGAGTTCTTATCTTTTTGTTTTGTTTTGTTTGTTTTGTTTTGTTTTGTTTGAGACAGGGTCTCCCTGTAGCCCCAGCTGGCCTGGAACTCACTATGTAGACCAGGGTGGCCTTGAACTTAAAGAGATCCGCCTGCCTCTGCCTCCGGAGTGTTGGGATTAAAGGCATGCCCACACCCAATGGGGTGTTCTTGTTAAAAAATTTGGGAGTAGCTTTTCATTTTGTTTTAATTTCAGACTTGAAGAAAAGTTGTAAGAATGTGCCCTTTATTTTGTTTCTCTGGTACTTTCTGTGGGTTTTGTTTGATCCTTTCCTCTTTTTTATACACACAAACACACACGTATGCATATGTTTGTAAAGCATCTGTGCATATACACATATATGTGATGTATATACATATATATGTGTGTATTTATATATATATACACATATATATGTATATATATATATGAACCATTTGAGAACGAGCTAGAGACATTGTAGCCTTCCCACTGAAATACTTAGGTATATTTACCCTAACACAAGGAAACTCTTGTATACAGCCATAGCCCAAGGGTAGAGATCAGGAGGGTTAAACAAGTAGAGTAGTAAAGTTTTCCCCACCTTCATCTTCAGATGTTGTCCTGTCAGTCCCTGGCGGCCCTGAGTTGTCCATTGTCTGGTCTCTAGTCTGGAGCAGGTCCTGAGCCTTTGGAGTGCATAACTCGGGAGGTCTTGACACAGTCCAGCTTTTCCTGGTGTTGCTTCAGGGTTGGGCTCAGTCTGTCTCTGGCAGGAGCATCATAGGAGTGGTGTGTTCTTGGTGTGTCATGGCAGGAGACCCAGGACCCAAACACTGTAATGTAGTCAGAGACAATGAGATCTCAGCAGTTGTGTCCTGTCTGGAGTGCGCCTCCTCCCACTCGACCCCTGGTCTTCGTGTCTAGCTGGCATTCTATGAAGAGACTTTAGAAAGACTGTATAAGACTGGAGTTATTTTTTTCTCTTAGATGATTGTTAGAATTCACCAGTCAAGTCTGTGACCCTAGAGTTCTCTGTGATACTGTTTTGATAACAAGCTCAATTCAGATGTGGGGCTCCATTGTGACTTCTTTTGTGTCACTGAATATTTGAGAGAACACACTAACTTCACGTAAGCCATAAGATTTTTCAGGACAGAGTTGTTGGCAGTATTTCCTTAGCCTTTTACTGTCCATTAAATCTGTAGTGTCATCTCTTCATTCGCAATCTAGGTGATGCCCCCCATCCTTCCCTCCCTTCCCCTCCCCTCCCTTGCCTCCCCTTCCCCTTCTCTCACCTCCTTTCCCTCGTTTTTTAACCTTGCTAAGTAAGAGATTTTATTTTTAGTGTTTTCAGCCCAAGTTTCAGCCTTACTGGCTATCTGCATTGCTTGTTTTGGCATAGATTTCTGTTTGTTTATTGTTTTCCCTTCTACTTTGTTGAACTCTACGAAGAGTTCAACTTGCTTGGATTTTTTCTAGCTTTAAAAAGAAGACATGGTATTTTTCAGCCTCTCCTTTTCTGTTGTAGGTGTTTAAGGGTGCAGGCTTAGCGCTCATGTCTTTCTGACACTGGCCGTCCATCATTAGGAAAGCAGTATTTCTGGCAGTAAGCACCCCGGTGTGCACTGGGCACTAATAACCATGCGTGCTTTCATTCGTCCTGTGTGTGACAGACTTGTTTGTGTTCTTCCACTCTCAACCTGTACTGTGTTTAAAGAGTTTCCACTTTTGTGAACATATGGTTGGGTCTTAGTTTTATGCTTAGTCCCATAGTTTCTACCTTTTTATTGGAGTAGTTAGTCCATTTGACTTTACAAAATTATTGATGTGTTCGGATTTATGTCTGTCACTTTGCTATTTGTTTTTCTTAGTTTTCTTATCAGTTTTTGTTCTGTTAAATTCTTTCCTTGTTTGTCGGACTAGCTGTATAATTTTTCATTTCGCTTGTCAGCACACCCTCTTTGACTTGCTCACCACTGTGTTTTTCATGTACAGTGTGCTGTGAACACTAAAGTGCGGTGGAAGAGTTCTGTCTTCTGAAGAAATTAATAAGAGAAAGATACAGCCTTTTATATACTCAGTCTTACCATGTTTGGTGACTGCTGTTCCTCTTCTTAGATCAGAGTTATCATCTGGTAGCATTTCCCTTCCCCATGAAGAACTTGTTTCAGGGTTCTGTGTGGGTTGGTCCTGACAGCATGTTTGCATTTCTGAGTCATAGTTTTGCTGGGTATAGAACTACGGGTCCACAGGTCTGTCTCTTCTCCTGTGCGTAAAAGTCATCCTGTTACCTTCCGCCCTTCTGTTTTACATGGAAGTCAGCTTTCATGCAAAGTGTGCTTTTACAGATGACGTTCCCTTTTTTCTCTTTTCTCTTTGCATCCTAACGGGTGTCTATCTGCTCTGTCACTGAATGTCTTAGATCTTAGAGTTTGGGACCTTAACGACTGCCGTTCCTTTTTTATGCTCACCCTATTCTGCTGTCTTTTTCTGCTTTCAGTCAGGACATCCATGATACGGCGTTTTAACCCCTGGTCTTATCCCACAGCCCTTTTTGTTTTCCCCTCGGACATTCAGATTGGATCACTGTATTTGTCTATACTCTGCTGTTGGGTTTTCCAGTACATTTCTACTTCTCTGATTGTACTTTTCAACTTCAGTGTTTCCATTGGTTCTTTCACAGAGTCTTCACATTTCTAGAGTTGGCAGTGGAGTTGTCTGTCTTTTGCCTGTTTCTCTTCAAACTTGTATTTATAACAGCCTCCTTAAAGCTTTTTTTTTTTTTTCCTGGTGAATGCAACGTTTGAATCATCCTGTGTTGATGCTGCTGACATCTTGTATTATGGGTGACTTTTTCCTGTTAACACGAGAGTGGTGGTTTTTGATAAGACTCTGAAGGTTGTGAATGAAACATTGAAGAGATGGGACCAGAATGCATTTCTCAAATGTGGTTTCTGTCCCAGCAGTCAGTTGCCCAGTGTGATCTCTAGCACTGCACAGCCTCCCGTGTGGCAGCTCAGGCTGCTGCTCAGCATGATTTGTTCTGACTGCTGGCTCTTGGGACCTTCCCCACACATACTTATGTTGTGGTCAGCCAAAGATTTGAGCAGGTCTTAGAGGTGTCTGGACCTTCAGTATAAATCTATCCTTTACAGTTCATTACCTTTTTATTATTTTGAGGTGGTCTCACCTGTAGCTCAGGCTGGTCTTGAATTCACTCTGTACTCCATAATCCTCCTGCCTCAGCCTCCTGAGTGCTGGGATTACAGGCCTGTGACACATTCCTGACCTGCATCCATGTTTAAGAGCAGTCAGACATGAGTCTGCCTTTTGGTTGCTTTGCACTGTTTTCAAATGACTTGTTCTTGAGTGTGTTAAAATTTTGTAATTATACCCAGCACTCGGGAGGCAGAGGCAGGTGGATCTCTGTGAGTTCAAGGCCAGCCTGGTCTACATAGTGAGTTCCAGGCCAGCTGGAGCTACAGGGAGACCCTGTCTCAAAAAAAAAAAAAAATAGATTTTGTAAGTATGATCTGCAGGACAGTACCTAACAAAACTTGTAGGAGTCTATTTTGTGGCTGCTATAACTGAATGCCTGATCCAAGCAACTTAGAAGGAGGAATGATGTGTTTTAGACCATTTCAGAGGTTGTAGTCTGCAGTGGTGGGGTGGATGAGGCACAGTGGCTGACACCAAGGAGAGCAAACAGAACAGTAACGGGGGCCAGGTAAGGTACTGTCCCCAGGATGCCTTAGTGACCTGCACCAGCCAAGTTCTACCTTCTGTGGTCCCACCGCTTCCCAGTAGTCTATCCCAATTTGGGATCCTTTGGGGGATCAAACTGTTTATTAGACCTAGAGCCCATCTCCGGAAGTTCCCCCACAGCCTCCAGAAGTTTCCTCATGGTCTGGAAGCGCCCTCCCTCACAGGCCTGTGCAGAGGTGTAATGCCTTCTCTGTGTGCACCTCTCAGTCCTGTCACATTGACAGTGAACTTCAACCAGCACCAAGCTGCTGAGCCATTGCAGATTGTGGTGTATAGTGTTTGATGAGATTCTCAATCTGCTTGTTCATTGTGACTGTCTTTTCCTTGTAGTCCTCAACATATTTATTATAGCTGCTTTAAATTCCTTAAGGTCTATAAGTTCTAATGTCTGGGTTTTTGTGGATTGTTTCTACTCACTGGTACTGACTATAGATCATGCTCTTTCTTCTCTTGCCTATTTATTTTTAATGGTGCTGGGCCATGCCCATGCATGGCTCACTGCTGTTCCTCTGTGAGTCACAGAACTTGTCTCCCCTTCTGGATGTTTTAGACACGTGTTGAGTATTTGCTTTTGGAGTGTGCCTTGTTGGTGTGGACCAGATACTGGGTATGTCAGGCAATCCTTTTCTCTTGTTACCTACAGATAATCTGCAAAATGGTGTGTCTGCTGAGCAAGACCACATATGAGCACCTGCTGCTCCCTGGATTCTGTGAGCTGTGTGGAGACAGCAAGCTCGTTCAAGTTCGGAAGGTGGGAACAGAAGAGACTAAAACCTCTTTCTAAGTTGAAAACCTCCAAATGTTCTTTTAGTTTCTGCCTACTTCTTCAGTAGATGCTGTGTGTGTGTGGGGGGGGTGAGGCTGCTGGTTAGATGCCAATACACAGATTTAGGCGGACTTTGACTTCCTGGGGTGATTTGTTCCAGAACTCTCTTGTCTTCTCTGTGCCTTCCACCCCATTGCTGGCTTCCCTTGGGTTGTTTGTGATTTGGCTTTTGAACACTCCTTGGGGACTGTGAGACCTCAGCCTCTGCCGCGCTGCCTACTGGCCTTGCTCCTCAGACCTTGAGATGCGTGGTCAGGACTGTGTCTCATTACCCATGCAGACCATACTAACTGTCTCTTTCTGCCTTCCCACTAACCAAATGCATTATGTATCAAGATCAATTAGGAGCCAGAAAGCCCCTAGAAGTCAGTACCCACTTGTAAATCCCCTGTTTTCAATGCAGCAGAGGCACCTAGCGTGGTACTGTGTGGGCGATGGGCCTGGTGCGGGCTTGTTAGCTGTCTGACTAGAGGGATAATTGCTCTCAAGGTTCCCGCTTGTTAGTTTTTACAATTTGTTAAGACAAAAAGAAAGACAAAGAAATAATGTGTATGCCTTTGCCTTTCACAGGTGTGTGCTACAAATTTTGGTGACATTTGTCATGCTGTGGGACAGGAAGCCACTGAGACCTTTCTGGTGTGTGAAGTTCTGTGGTCTTACCTGCTGCCTCCCTTCGCAGTGCATTTTCCCAGACTGCTTTGGGGCTGCTTTGTGATGGTACCTCCTTTGTCAGCACTCCGTCTCCAACTTCTGGACTTCCTGTTTTTCTTAAGCACCGGCTGCCTTGCCTGGAGGGTATGGAAACAGCCTGGGCCCCCTCCCCTGTGTGCTGTGCTGTTGCCCCTCCCAGCCGCCTTCCCCCATGTCTTCTCATGGTTCACACCCTCTCCACCATTCTTTCTGGAGCTCTGCACCTGGCCCCAGTCTCCGAACACTAGGCATTGTTTCCTTGGTTAGAACCCAGGACCTTACCACCACCATCCTGGTCCCTTTACATGTGCCTTTTCGGCCACACCTATGGTCACCTCAGGTCCACGCATCACCCTGGCCTGGTGGGTTTCACCTATGGCAGTTCATCTCAAGTTGGGAAGCCAAGGCTTTTATAACTTCCCTGTGACTATTATGCGGCAAGGTAGAGAGTCACACACCCAGCATCCTCATGGCTTTCCATTCCTTCCAGACACTGCAGATCTCTCACAAGAGAAACTCTTCACACACTGTAACCCCAACCTGGGTCTGTCTGCTCTGATCTTCTTCCCTTGCCCACACTTACCCACCCACCATGCCCTAGAACATTCATTTCTCCCTTTTCCGACTCCTGTAGCCTTTTGTTCAGAGGATCTTGTGAGAGTTTTGCGGATGGGGACCTTGAGGCAGGGACCCCACTGTGCTCTTTGTTTGCAGTGCCCACTGGGTCCCAGGGTACCTGTTGCTTTCATTTGGTAGAATGCCCTAACTGTGTGGTTGGATTTAACCTCAAAATTTAGTCTTTAAATTGATTTTTAAGTTCAGAAGATCATTTCATTTTATTTAAGGTAAAAAACAGTCAATGGCATTGTAACCCAAGACTAATTTATAACGGATCACTGCTTTGAAGGCATGAGTACGGCTTCCCATTCCTGCCTCTGCTGAGGACTGCAGTGACCACGTGCTCTGGTTCTGTAGGTGGCCATTTGCCCATCAGATCAGGTCCGTTTGTGAAACATTTTAAGCTAATTGTTTTACATTAGGGACTTAAAATCAAAGCCTTTTTAAAGGATAAAATTTTAAAGATGTAATCACCTTCATGTAGATATAAATGAACATATGTCAAAAATGATATTTAACTCATTTGCTAATAAAGCCAGAAAGCTATAACAGGTGGCTCAGAGGAGAATTCTGGAGCACACACTAGCTGTCTGACTCTAGAGGAGGTCAGGCTGCTCACAAGCCACAGCCATCACCACTTGCATTCCACTGGATACGCTCTGCATTTCTGTGGGCAGGAAATACTTACATTCTCCCAGGGTTGGCTCTCTCTATATCCCAGACTGGCCTCGAGCCTGCGGTCTTTTGGCTTCAGCTTTCTGAGTGCTGGGATTCCAGGGGTGCACCACCGTGCCCAGTGTATCAGTATTCATAGCCTGCGCCCAACCACTGCAGAGCTATAAACACCCTAGTCAAAGACACTGATTGTGGTGAGTCTGTCTGCTGAATTAGCCTTTTTTTGTTTTTTAATTAATTATTTTTTAGAAAAAACATTTCATTACAGCTTTAACATACTCATTAACAGTTTCCAGAGCAAAGATACATCTCTTTCAAAAGTGGCTATAAAATTTTTAGGTTCACTGTTGAATTAATACAGTTATACAATATTGAACTCAGTATAAGCCCTGTATGACATAAAATTGAGTTTTTAACCTTTAAAAAAGTTCTCCATTTCATTTTTAAAATATGCTGTTTCTTACAGAAAGATTCATTGTTTTTTCTCTTAACACTGAGATGTTGGCGCATGCATCTCTAATCTGTATGTATCTGATTATTACCAGTCATAATCACTTGCACTTGGATCCTTGGCACCTTTGTATGTCAATAAAATCATCAGATAGATTTCAATTCTAATGTTTATCACCTCTACTAATTAACATGAAGTAAATTTCTATGCTTCCTCCTCAAATATAATACATTTTTTTAAATTTTCAGAACATCCCAAACCACCTTATTCAACTACGCACCCACTTCCCATATGGCACCCTCCTATAGCCTCCCCGCCAATAAAGCCCTTATACTCCATTATCCCTGCTACTGTGCACTGTGTTGTCGGCACCCCCAGCCGTTCCCCACTATTTGTCCATCTGGTGAATCTAGTCAGTCTATCTAGAGGTCTTTGTTTTAGGAAGGTCAGCTGTTCCTCATCTAGCAGCAATCAGTTGTCAATATTCCTTTAGATAAGATTGGGGTTTGCTGTTCATTTTCCCAGACCTATGCTGGGTTACTGTCTGGGAGTCTCTTGGGCCACCCTGGCCAACAACTCAAAGGATGGTATCTCCTGTCTGGCATTGTTTCTTGTTATGTAGCCTTTAGCTATACACATAGACTCTTAAAAAATTGTATTGACCCCTTTAATCTTTGGTTATACTTTCCTTTTGGGTGTTTAAGACCCTACAGTTGGCACAGATAAACCAATTTATTTTTACTCTTAAGGTCATTTGAGGATCTGTTCCTCAGGAGTCACATGGGGAGGAGTCCCTGGATCTTTTGTTGTTGTTGTTGTTGTTTTTACCAGCTCCACCTATGTGAAGATAAGTCAAAGGTCCTGCTCGACCATGCCTGGCTTTGCTTGGAAGCATGGAGGAAATGATTCATCTGTGTTGACCCTCCTCTTTGTAGACTGGACACTGGTGGGATCTCCTCCGCCTCCTTGATCAAGAGGACAGGTGACCCAATTACAGGACATTTTGAGAGATGCTCATAGTCCCCTGGAACTAGTCGACCTAGGACGGCAAGGAGCAAAAAGTGTCCTTTATGTCCCTTTGACCAAATTAGTATAGTCCTCAAAGTATGTCTGTTAAACATCCAAGAAGGTTAGTTCCACCAGTCTGGTGCTTTTAATTACTGTGTGCCATGTAGATAAATCTTGGGCAAAGACCAATTGTTCTCAGATAAACCTTACCTAGACATATATTTCTTGATCTGGTATGTATAATTTGTCAGTAGATTGTAGGACTAATATGGTTCCCGCTGGTTTTTAAAACTAGCTAGGCATTATTTCTCACATTGTCTAACCCCTCCATCATGGTTTCCCCAGTTAAGGTGACCCCATTTCCCTCCTTTCTCCCTTAATAATACCCTTCTACGGCCCTACCTCTCGAGCTCCTTCTTTCCCTTTATCCCCTAAGTTCCTTGTATACCCTTCCCCCTCCTCCCTTAAACTAACCAATTTTTATCCATATCTCCCTATTAACACCTGTTTCCTACTGTGCTTCTCTTTCAGGTTCTTTCTTTTCCTTTACCTCCCTGGTTCCTTTCCATTATCCTAGTTCCTGTAGTTATGTCTGGATACATACTCACTTATCAGGGTTTGGTTCTAGGACCCACATATTAGGGAGAACACACGTCGATTTTTTTTCTGAGTCTATGTTACTTCATTTAGTATATCATTTTCTATTTCCATCCATTTACCTGAAAATTACATGATTCAATCTTTCTTT